ATACACCTTGCTGAAAGTTGTTGACGTTTCATTGAAGACAAAATAAGTTTCAATTTGATGGGTTTTCAGGAATGTACTTTGTATAGCCAGGCACGAGACAGACACTGGCCCCAGCCCACCCCACTCAGGGAAAAATTATATGGGGCACCTGACAAACTGGAGACCACAGTCCGGTTTGTCCACGAAGTTGGACTTGTTGTCTGAATCCTCCACCATATTCACAATTAAGAACGAAGAAGAAGATGATGGGTTTTTTTAATGTATGTTCCAAAATCGGTTTCTTTAAAACAGATTATGTTTATCTTGATGAATTAATTACAAAAATAGATTGCCACACATGCTAAAACTAAATTGATAACAACGACATCGTGTAGGTGGTCCGCTTAACATTTCTGCCATTCGTAGAAGTTCAATTTTTTATTTACCTCTGTATTAAACTTTAACTCGCTATAACTTTTTAAAAACACGGATTCAATTTTAAACTGCTGGTATTAACTAGGTCTTTTGCTAACAACGTAAAAATTATTGTTGACTGATACAAATGTTTGTTGATACAAAATGCTGCTGTTTCTACTGCCTGTTATTTTGTTTAATGGGAAATTGTTTTGGTTCGCCCAACGAGCGAGCTGTATAAATTTGTTTGTTCGATTAACGAACTAAGCTCGCAAGAGGAAAGCTACGTGTCGATTATAGAAGGGGACGTAACTAGGGAGATTTCACCATGGGACTTAACTCGAGAGATTATACCAGGTTATGAACGGGGAGATAATCTAAAGTCTCTTATCAATGAATGTCAATAGCACATAACGACAAAGTAAAAAAAACACCTCTGAAAACTTACGTGTAAAAGTTGTACCCATCTATTTAATGAGTGAGGACTGGGAGGGGAGGCACATTTTGACGTCTAAGTTGAATTTATAACAGAACCACGTTTTACTACAGCAAATACAAAAGATTCAATCTCCATTCAAAATGTACAGTCGACATTTCATAGCAGCTTATGTATTAACAAAAGAACACAATGCCTGCAGGTAATAAAACCACGGTGTCTGTGTTTGTACAGGGAGCAAGGAATCAGATATGCTGGTCATAAAGAAAGTCACGGTACAACTAAAATAAACCGGGAGTGATCTCCCCTAAACTTTCTCGAATATTCTTATTTAAAATAACAGGGGATGGGAACTCGGGCTAAAGACATGCTTTTTAATCCATTTTAAATACTTAAAGTTTTAAAAATAGAATAAAATCTAGTAGACAAAAAAAAATGCACACCAAGTGAACGCCAAATAAAAAAGTGCATAATAGTGCGCAATATTATTAGTACTTTAAAAATTTACATTAGTTTTTTGAGAAATCGGAAGTAGCGTAAATTACTACTTCCGGTGAACAAAAATTACTCAAAATTTAACAGAAGGTAGAGAATTAGATCTTTTACTTACTTGTGAAATTGCATTTATCTATCTGAAATAGTATTCAAGTTATAGGCTTTTGAAAAATTCTAAGTAGGAAAAGTACCACTTCCGGTTATCGGAAATCGCTCAAAAGTTTATACGGATTTACGATTTTGATAAAATACTTATATATGAAATTTCATCAACCTAGATGTAACGGTACTCAAGTAATCGTGTTTACACACAGACACACACACACACAGACAGACAGACAGACACACAGACATACGGACAAGATTGCAAAATTATGTTTTTCCGTATCAGTGAGGTGTAAAACGTCGAGATTTCTAAAAATCTCGATTTTTTTATTTTTTTTGCACGATTACAATACTTTCTCTATACTTCGTATATAAGAGAAAGTAAAAAATGATGCTTGTTATAATTCTGGGTTCGACTAGAAAAATTTTAGTCTCCAATTTTATACGAAAAATGTGTGTTAATTACATCAGTTTTGGGTTGATATGGAGAATAGTCATTAAATATTTACATTACAAAGTTACAGTCATTCGCTCTATAATCCGACCATGCCGTCCCACTTAAAACGTGTGATACAGCTGTAATGGGTTCTAGGGGATCGAGAGGAGAAATAAAACCTAGCTGTTTTTTTTTACGTTTCTTGAGTTCGTTCTGTCTTTCGTTTTATAAAAACAGACGCATTAGACTGATGATATGAAGATAATTTTAGGATAATATTTAGTTTAATAATTTTAGAAATCGGCCTGGAAGAAAGGCCGTGTTAATGGTATTATTTTAATCAATTTTCTGCTGAAAATTTCAAACTAAGAAAAATGTTTTTGACGTTGAATCAACATTCGATGTGTGCGGTTGCTAGATTTATCTTCATGCTAACTCTCAACAAGTGAAACTTTAATAGAGAAAAATGGAATCATCAGGCTTTTAAACAACCAACACATGAACTTAAAAATAGGGAATCATAAGAACTACGGCTTAATTCGCCATATTTGAGGTTCATTTATCAACACTCGAAACGATAATAGAGAAATATGGAATCATAAGAACTATGGGAAGGTTGAATGGCCGTATTTAAGGTTTGTATAACTACCAACACATGAAATTATAACAGAGAAACATGGAATCTTTAGGTTTTTAAACAATCAACACATGAACTTATAACAGAAAAATAGGGAATCACGAGAACTACGGGGTAATTCGCCAAATTTGAGGTTCATTTATCAACACTCGAAACGATAATAGAGAAATATGGAATCATAAGAACTATGGGAAGGTTGAATGGCCATATTTAAGGTTTGTATAACTACCAACTCATGAAATTATAACAGAGAAACATGGAATCATAAGAACTGCAGCATAATTCTCCCTATTTGAGGTTAATTTATCAACACTCGAAACGATAACAGAGAAATATGGAATCATAAAAAGTACATGATGGATGAATGGCCAAATTTAAAATTCAACCCGTTGCTCATGAAACTTGGAATCGCGACTACCTTAACGTCGCCATATGTTAGTATGTATTTTCTCTCTACTGCTAGCCCCAGGTCGTGGAGTGTAAGATTATAAAACAATCGCAGTCCCATCGGTCTAGAGATGCAACGCGAGAGAAAAAACAATAAAGAAAAATAGCAAACATGTCGGCCATCTTGTGATCGCTCTGATCTTTTGCCGCGCAGATCTCCGGGCTTGTTTGGATGACTTTTTAAATATTTCTCCGCCGAGTGTTGTTAGACGGGAGCAAATCGAATGTAGGCCATCTTGGATTCTAACACTTCTGCTGTCATTTGGGTTATAGATATTTCATGGGGATCTCGTATTATCTTAGGGATTGTACATTTTAGGGAAATTCAACCCCATTTCGTTAGCCATATTTAACCTCATCATCCCCAATTAGCCATGTGGAACCCCTGCATCTTTAATTAGCCTTTCTTCTTCTTTTTCGTTCTTAATTTTAGTGTTGAAGTGATTCCCTCCAACACAATTAAGTATAAGTGTCAACTGGTTATGCGCCATTTAGGCCGTTGACTCCGATTATCCTGCTTTTCCTTTTGCATTTGCTTCCATAGACTTAGTCCAACCAACAAACTACAAGGCAGCAGTTGTTTGATTTTGGAGTTGTCTCTCCTAGAAGAGTGGCTGTCCCCAGCCATCGAGTCTCATCTGCCCGGGATAAAATAGTTGAGTTTAGCCACACCATCCCTAATTAGCCGAATGCTATGCTGTCTATTGTTGCCTACTTAGATATTGTGACTAAGTTGTATATTGTTGCCTACTTAGATATTGTGACTAAGTTGTATATTGTTGCCTACTTAGATATTGTAACTAAGTTGTATATTGTTGCCTACTTAGATATTGTGACTAAGTTGTATATTGTTGCCTACTTAGATATTGTGACTAAGTTGTATATTGTTGCCTACTTAGATATTGTGACTAAGTTGTATATTGTTGCCTACTTAGATATTGTAACTAAGTTGTATATTGTTGCCTACTTAGATATTGTTTCTACACAAGTAGCGTGACTAGCGGCGTGTCGCCATGGTAACCAGCTAATATGTCGAGCACGATCAAAGTTTCAAACACAACCAGAACAAGAGAGTGACATCCCTTTAGTTTATGCAACCAGAACAAGAGAGTGACGTCCCTTTAGTTTACACAACCAGAACAAGAGAGTGACATCCCTTTAGTTTACACAAACAGATCAAGAGAGTGACGTCCCTTTAGTTTACACAACCAGAACAAGAGAGTGACATCCCTTTAGTTTACACAACCAGAACAAGAGAGTGACATCCCTTTACTTTACACAACCAGAACAAGAGAGTGACGTCCTTTTAGTTTACACCACCAGAACAAGAGAGTGACGTCCCTTTAGTTTACACAACCAGAACAAGAGAGTGACATCCCTTTAGTTTACACAACCAGAACAAGAGAGTGACATCCCTTTAGTTTACACAACCAGAACAAGAGAGTGACATCCCTTTAGTTTACACAACCAGAACAAGAGAGTGACATCCCTTTAGTTTACACAACCAGAACAAGAGAGTGACATCCCTTTAGTTTACACAACCAGAACAAGAGAGTGACATCCCTTTAGTTTACACAACCAGAACAAGAGAGTGACATCCCTTTAGTTTACACAACCAGAACAAGAGAGTGACATCCCTTTAGTTTACACAACCAGAACAAGAGAGTGACATCCCTTTAGTTTACACAACCAGAACAAGAGAGTGACATCCCTTTAGTTTACACAACCAGAACAAGAGAGTGACATCCCTTTAGTTTACACAACCAGAACAAGAGAGTGACATCCCTTTAGTTTACACAACCAGAACAAGAGAGTGACATCCCTTTAGTTTATGCAACAATAATGGTAAACTCCATCTTTCAGACGGGAATTTCCGATCTAATATTACCACTGTCCGGATGGGGTGTGGTGTGTTAACCCACATCACGTGACACGCCTGCCACGTGACTGTTCGCTCACGTTTCCTACTTCCGGAAGTGACGTAATGTTTCAGCCCGGAAGTAAAAAAAAATGTTTAATAATTTATTTATTGTGGCATTTTTCAAGCTGACTTGTCGAGTCTCCGTCCTCCGCGCTTCCTGTGTGTGATCGTCGTACACGCAGGGTACACAAGTCCGGTTTTTGTCCGGCATTTGTCCGGCCTTTTCTCAGGCTTTTGTCCGGCATTTTATCCGGCTTTATATACGCACTTTTGTGTTTACTCCTACAACAGTGTTAATGTAATTAATAGTTTTAGTTTGTTTTATTTGCATAAACGAGACACAATTGGCAATTATTTTCCAGTCCCCGACACCCCCCCACCCATACTTTCACCCCCTTTCCCCACCCATAAGTTTTGCGTGTCATACAAGATAAGTAACCGAGAATTTCGTGGGCCCATAGTTCCATGATAATCTGGTGGTCTCATAGTTCCATGATAATCTGGTGGGCCTATGTTTACATGATAATCTGGTGGGCCCATGTTTACATGATAATCTGGTGGGCCCATGTTTACATGATAATCTGGTGGGCCCATGTTTTCATGATAATCTGGTGGGCCAATGTTTACATGATAATCTGGTGGGCCCACAGTTCCATGATAATCTGGTGGGCCCACAGTTCCATGATAATCTGGTGGGCCCATAGTTCCATGATAATCTGGTGGGCCCATAATTCCATGATAATCTGGTGGGCCCATGGTTTCATGATAATCTGATGGGCCCATAGTTCCATGATAATCTGATGGGCCCATAGTTCCATGATAATCTGGTGGGCCCATGTTTACATGATAATCTGGTGGGCCCATGTTTAAATGATAATCTGGTGGGCCCATGGTTACATGATAATCTGGTGGGCCCATGGTTACATGATAATCTGGTGGGCCCATGTTTAAATGATAATCTGGTGGGCCCATGTTTAAATGATAATCTGGTGGGCCCATGTTTAAATGATAATCTGATGGGCCCATGGTTACATGATAATCTGGTGGGCCCATGTTTAAATGATAATCTGGTGGGCCCATGTTTAAATGATAATCTGGTGGGCCCATGTTTACATGATAATCTGGTGGGCCCATGGTTTTATGATAATCTGGTGGGCCCATGTTTACATGATAATCTGGTGGGCCTCTTGTTACATAAGATATTGGTGAGACCCTGCCTACACTACCCAGGTGTGGGGCCCTTGATTTTATGATATACTATAGTGGGCACCCACTTACGCGATGTACTACGTCCCTTGTTACGTGATTTACTCGTGGGCCCCCCGCATACATTATAAACTGTATTCCCTCTGGTAACACAGGGCACAATGGATCCACCCAACACACCACAAATAGACTGTTTGGACTAGAGAGCGCCGTGTGTTTATTTAACCAACTGCAGCAGTAGAGCTGGGTCATATTTAGGGCTAGAGCCGGCCACCACGTTTGATCACCTGGGCCGTCCTGATATTCCAGACCACGGTTCGCACTTTACCAGCGCACAAAGAATGTGTGGGCCCGCGAAGAAAACAAAGAAAGACGTAGTTGGGCCCTTGATTTTCTCTCCCCCCACCCCCCGACCTTGCTGTAAGGTTCAACACTCTACATTAGCTCCACGTCTAAACTCTTCCCAACGCAATATTCTATTTCACTGCTCTGAGTTCGCTTTTTTTTTTTTTTTTTTTTTTTTTTTGAAGTCTTGTTATCTTACATTGATAATAATGAATTTCCAGTAAAAAAAATTATAAAATTTCCTTCAAGGAATTAAGTTCACAAAAAGTTGATTTCAAAAGGCAAAAACCAGTACATGACAATGTGTATTAGATGTAAATGTAAATCTTTTATGTTTGGCGCAACTGTAAAATGGTGGGGGCGGGAGGGGGGGGGGGGGGGGGGCGGCGCTACGGTAAGGTGGGGGGGGGGGCTTGCTTCTGCTTTGGTCGGTCACTCTAGTGCGCTTGAAACTTTTTCTTGAAACTTATTTTAATTGATATTTCAAAAGATTCAAGTACTCGATTATGATATAGATATATGAATGAACTCTATAGGCTGCTAGTAATCGACTACCATCCAGGCGTCTCCTACGATACCGTGAGCAGCTCTGATAGCCCGTCTGGCCGGTGGTCTACCTTAATTAATGAGGATTGCTTTAATTGCCTGCACGAGCGGCTGTACCTTGCCCGACACGTGTAAACACGACCCGACGTCTCGGCCTATAATTCCGAGGACGGCGGGAAAAGTTACCGTGTGTCGGAACAGTTTGGGCCATCTCCGAGTTCTGGAGTGGAGCAATTTCTCATAGCGAGGCTGACGTCACATCCAATCAGATGAGCGGTTGTCGCGGCCTGCTAGTGCGACGTGGTCTTGGGAATATGTTTGATGTGTTTTATATGGGTATGGGTTGGAGATGTATGTAGATTATGTATCTTCACATGTTAATATGCGTGAATTCTAATTCGCCGTCATAACGCATTGTTTATTTTAGCTTTTTTCAACCTCATGCGTGGAATCGGCGTGGTCGAGTCGGTAAATCTCTTGGTAGTTAAACCGAAAGATCTCGAGTTTGAACCCTCGGGTTCATGAGGTTCTTCTAGAAGAGACAACTCCAAAATGAAACAACGTGTAGCTTGTTCTTGGTTGGACAAAGCCAAACAGAAAAGCATGCCGAAATCGGAGTCTATATCTCGCATAACCAGTTGACAAGTAATACTTGTGTTTCCAACACCAAAATTAAGAATGAAGAAAAAATACGCTTCACATACCCTTGCTATCAACCCCACCCTATATGTACCCCCCCCCCCCGTCAACCCCACCCTATATGTACCCCTCCCGTCAACCCCACCCTATATGTACCCCTCCCGTCAACCCCACCCTATATGTACCCCTCCCGTCAACCCAGCCCTATATGTACCTCTCCCGTCAACCCCACCCTATATGTACCCCTCCCGTCCACCCCACCCTATACGTATCCCTCCTGTCAACCCCACCCTATATGTACCCCTCCCGTCAACCCCACGTTGTCGCCCTCTCTTTGTATGTCCCCACACTCCTCGTATGTGCCCTCCTGTCACCCCTTTGTATGTGCTCTCCCTCCCCCCTCCCCCACCCACCCCCCAGCTACCCCCCCCCCCCCCCCCGACAAAATCTGTTACCTGCCGGCCTAATGGCTCGCATGTCAACACGGTTTACGTCACGCCAAAGCAATTACAACCCGGCAAATCAAAAGTTTACCTGGCCAATCACTCTCCCGCCCCCTTCTTTCAAATTGTCCGATCAAATATTTCGCTCCAACAATTTGATGCTTTAATTACATCCTCCCCACCCTCCCCCACATAATCGCTATTGTAAGTTTTTTAACGTCTGCGATTACTGCCTTGTTTAACGTCTGCCTTTACTGCCTCGTTTAACGTCTACCTTTACTTGAAATAATTAGCCGATCATTTTTGGTTTGTTCTGTGAAATATTGAACAGTATTTCACAACGTCGAGCAGATCTGATGACGTCATCGAGGGTTTGCCGTGGCCGAAGCTAGGCGGGTCTGATCTTAATGAGCCCATGAGCGGCCTAATTAGCGGGGAGATCTCCTTGTCGCTAGGACACTTGACTGTGGAGTTTAGCCCCATCCAGACCCCAAGAAATCAGGCAAGAAATTACTCAACAAAAAATATCAAAGACGATTATAAAGTTATTTTTAGCTTACTGCGTGTTTTGCAGCCTTAGGCGTTCAATAATTAACAGAAATTTTCTTTGAGAAGCCGAGGAACTCACCGCCCACCACCCTCAACCCTTAACTAACTACCCACCCACCATCCACCGCTCCTCCGCCCCCAATCCCTACTAAAAACTCAATACCCACCACAAAACACCCACCACCTACCTACCACCCACCACCCACCACCCACCACCTACCACCCACCACCTACCACCCACTACCTACCACCCACCACCTACCACCCACCACCTACCACTCACCACTTACCACCCACCACCTACCACCCACCACCTACCACCCACCACCTACCACCCACTAACCACCAACCACCAACCACCCACCAACCACCACCCACCACCTACCGCCCACCACCCACCACCCACCACCCACCACCCACCACCCACCACCCACCACCCACCAATCACCACCCACCACCTACCACCCATCACCTACCACCCACCACCCATCACCTACCACCCACCACCCACCACCCACCACCCACCAATCACCACCCACCACCTACCACCCATCACCTACCACCCACCACCCATCACCTACCACCCACCACCCACCACCCACCACCCACCACCCACCAACCACCACCCACCACCCACCAACCACCACCCACCACCCACCACCCACCAACCACCACCCACCACCCACCAACCACCACCTACCACCTACCACCTACCACCTACCACCTACCACCTACCACCTACCACCCACCACCCACCACCTACCACGCACCACCTACCACCTACCACCAACCACCTACCACCTACCACCCACCACCCACCATCCCCACTCCCCAATCACAAAATTAATGAAGTAATTAGTCAACCAACGGGCATATTTAAAACTTCAAAAGCTGCTCCGCACTTGAGAAAAAAAAATTCAAACATCTAAAATTCGGGACGAAAACCAGAGAAACGAAATATATCACTGACATATAGCAGGAAGTCAAATATTCATAACAAAATTCAGGGAAAACACCACAAGCATTCCGTTAGACGTACCCAGCAGCCACAATGGATAGAGGCTCAACTCAGATCACTAAGGGAGCTTTAATATGTAGCTGACTCACGATTGGTCAGCTTTAATAAATAGCTGACTTACGATTGACGGAGAGAGCTGAGTTGTGGTGTGTGATTTATTTCAAAACTAAACATCAAGAGATTGAGGCTAAACAATCCTCCAAATAACAAATAAACCATACGAGCCGGCCCGCGGCATAACATACGCCGCTATTTAGTTGTTTCTAATTTTCAATAATTCATAATTTGTGAATTCGACAGTACCAACGCTGACACTGAAAATATTTCTTTAAAACACTATAAGTAGCTCGTTAAGGACCATAACCCCCCCCCCCCCCCCCCTTCCTCCCCCCCTCCCCCCCCCCTCCCCCCCCCCCTACGTTTAAAATCGTTGGCTCTGCTTGTAAACATTTAGAGTGAACACAGCTCACTAAAACCATGTAGGGGTGGGGAGGTAGGGAGAGCGTTTGCAGCTTGTTTTCTAACGGCTCGAAGAAGAGAATTATATATATAGAAGATTGTTAGTATTGGCTCCACACAAAACAAAATTACCAACTTTCTATCTCTCTTCTCTCTCACAATCTTATTTCTCCTATCATTTATCTCTATTTGACACTCTCAAAACTCTCTCCCTCTCTTCATGTGCACACACAGACTCAGACGTACACACAGACACAGACGTACACACAAAGGCATGAACGGATTAACAATCAAACAGCTCCAATCCAAAACAGCAGCCCACACTACTGTTTGCAACAAGGGAACTCACTCTCCCAGGTAAAACAAAAAAAACAAAACAAAAAGGGGAGTAACTCTCCTGAACTACTTAGGTTTTGTCAGCGAGCTAACCACGCGCCACGCCCCACCACGCTTCGGCGTGAGCACCCACTAACCATAAATAACACCCATGTCAGAGTAATATTGTGTCTTACCTTCTCTCCCGACCCTTAACCTTTCCACACTTTGACGTCACGATGAATAGCACTGCGCCTGCGTAAACCCAATCCCCGAGTGACGTCATTAGCGCATATTTTTCTTGTCTCAAGCTTGGGATATGTAGAGAAAATATGTCCGCTAGACAAAATACCGTTACGGTTTTTTATCTGATTAGTTTAATACCAGCATCCCCCACCCTCCCCACTGTGCACCCCCACCCCACTGCTTTCGACCAAGTTAATTAATTGATCGAAGTTTTTCACTCGATTAACTCCCTTGAGTTGTTGACAAATCCCGTCAAAAAATTCTGGCAACTTTCAAACTTGTATGCGTGAAAATATGGCGTCCATCCATATGTGCGCTGTCTGTGACCATATGGGCGGTACACCGTGGGTCGTGCAGTGTGGGTTGTACCGTGTGGGTCGTACCGTGAGGGTTGT